TTCGGCTTCCCCATTTGATGTTTCCCCGACCCTCGTGGTGTCCCAACGGACTCCGTTTATCGTGCCTAAAGTCTAGTTTAATGTTTCGGATACCATTCGTAGGATAAACGAGTCTTATATATATATATATATATATATATATATATATATATATATATATATATATATATATATATATATATATATATATATATATATATATATATATATCGCATGCTATTTGAACTGGTATCCCGTTGGCCTAGGTGAAAGAAGTATGAACCCCTTAGGATTATTCCTAGTATGTGGATGACCACGCGTAGGTTTCATTATACGTTTTCTTCCCTTTCCCAATGTGTTAATATGGGTTGCATGTGCTTGCTATGTGTTATGTGTGTATGATATCCCAATTTGGTTGTGATCAAATTGGTTATTCCTAAGCTGTGGTTCAGAAGCTGGCTGCGGTCAGAATTACACTCTCGGGCTGCGGTCCACCGTTTGGTTGCTATCAAACGTTTTACATGAGCTGCGGTTCATATTCCTGGCTGCGGTCAGATGATCACTCTTGGGCTGCGGTCCACTGTTTGGTTGCGATCAAACATTATGATGAGTTGCGGTTCATCGGTCGGTTGCGATCGACCCCTTCGTGTTGCGATACGAGGCAGGGTGCTGCGGGGCCGTGTCAGAGCTATATGCGCTGACCCTCATGTATGGGCATGCGACTGGTCCTGTGGCGCCACCAAAGTGTGCTTGCGTGATGAGATGAATGATGATATAAATGAGATCAAGTGAATCTGTGACCGTAGGATATATGCTAGTATCTTTATATGCTTGGTTATAACTGTTGAATGTTCTTATCCCTATCTGTCGAGTCTATTCCGGTTTTGAAACTAGAGTTTCCTAGGATATATCTTCCTTCTTCAAAATGGCTTTTCTTATATCTATATATATATATATATATATATATATATATATATATATATATATATATATATATATATATATATATATATATATATATATATATATATATATATATATATATATATATATATATATATGTATACGTATATGGTATTTCAACGCGTTAGAGTGGATTACCAGCATTATTCGCTGAACAGATATATTTGGCTTTTAGGCACAGACGATTAGCTCCGGAGCGCGCTAGAGGACCCAAGGCTTAGATAGATAGTTTCATCTTCGGCTTGCATGCCATAATGATGTAATGATGTTGTTTAAGGACAATTAGATAGTTTAGCCTGTGCATCTGAGTTCTCTAGCTCAGATGTGGCATAACACCCCGTATTCTTATGTTTAGTACTGCTCTGTTTGGGATTTAATGAGAATTTACCTTTATTATATAAGTTTTAAAAGTTTCGAAAATCTGGGGTGTTACAACTACACTAGGTATGTATGGTTGTTTCCCCTCAAACTCAAATCAGATGTCTACAGTATATTTTGTCAGTTTAAACGTATGGTCGAGAATTTCTTTAATTATAAGATTGTCTCGGTCTATTCTGATAATGGAGGTGAATATGTCAAATTGACACCTCTATTACGACTTTGGGAATCTCTCATTATACTACACCTCCTCACACTCCGGAACACAACGGTATGGCTGAACGTCGGCACAGGCACATAGTCGAGAGCGGTATGGCGCTTTTACATTATGCGTCCATGCCCTCTTCATTTTGGACCTATGCCTTCCAAACATCGATCTATCTAATAAATCGTATGCCTACTCCCGTTCTAAATTATTCCACACCATATGCAAAATTATTTCAGAAAAAACCCAACTATAGAAAAATACGGTCGTTTGGATGTTTGTGTTATCCCTGGCTAAAGCCTTATTTTCCAGCAAAGTTGGGTCCTAAATCCCTACCGTGTGTCTTCCTGGGATATTCCTTGAGTCAATATGCATATAAATGTTTAGAAGTCAGTAGTGGTCGAATATATGTCTCGCGTCATGTTACGTTTGTTACTAATGAATTTTCCTATCGTGACTTAGTAGCTTCTGGACTCTCATCTGCGCCCCAATATTTGAGTTCGGATGAACCTCTACCTTCCCCTATATCTTGCGATGTAGGTACTGTTTGTCTACAGTCACTAGAGACTCGTTGTGCCGGCTCTCTCCCACCAGCGGCTACAGCGTCGGTCTCAACTGCGGCTTCCTCACCCACCATGACTCAACCAGCGCCGCCTGTGGAGGCTCCGATAGCCGCGTCGACTGGTGGTGCGTTGCAGCTTCACCCAGCGCTGCAGCCCACTGGTTCGGAGTCGTCTGTATCCGCCATGCCCACTGGACGGTCCTCAACGCCTGACTCACCGGCTGCAGCTTCTCTGCCGGCTGAAGATCATCGGCAACGAGAAGGGCCGGTAGAGTTCACATCTGCTGAGGCGACAATGTCAATTGCTGGTTCCGTGGACTCTATGGTAACGTCCTCGGTTGATCAACAGGTGGGGGTTGTCCCGGTGCGGAGGTCCACTAGGCCGCGCCGACCGAATCCCAGGTATTATGGAGATAAGTTTGTCAATCTCACGACTTCACATCCTGTTGCTTCTTCCTTGGAACCGCGCACTGTCAACCATGCTTTGAAGGATGATTTATGGCGGGCTGCTTTGACGGATGAGTTTACTGCACTAGTGAGGAACTGCACCTGGGAGTTAGTGCCCCGGGCCAGTAACAATGTCGTTGGCTGCAAGTGGGTGTTCCGGGTGAACCGCAAGGCCGATGGCTCTGTGGACAGGTTCAAAGCCCGACTGGTTGCCAAGGGCTTTCTACAAGAACCGGGGCGTGACTACTTTGAGACCTTTAGTCCAGTAGTTAAGCCGGTTACTGTTCGTGTCATTTTGAGTATAGCTTTGTCACAGGGCTGGGCGTTACGACAGCTGGATGTCAATAATGCCTTCTTAAATGGCACACTCTATGAAGAAGTCTACATGCAACAACCGGCGAGTTTTGCTGACGAACAGCGGCCGGATCATGTTTGTCGATTAAAGAAGGCGATTTATGGTTTAAAACAGGCCCCGAGGGCTTGGTATATTGAATTATCTGATTTTTTAGTTTCTATGGGTTTTAAGAAATCTGTAGCAGACACGTCCTTGTTTGTTTATTGCTCAAGTAGTGTCACTCTCTATTTTCTGGTCTATGTCGATGACATAATTGTAACAGGAAATAATTGATTGCTATAATCTGCAAGCGCACAGAGTCAATCACAGTATAAATTCCTAGAGTATTCCAGGGTCGATCCCACGAAGAACACTATTAACTGTTATCTTTAATAATCAAATTGTTGATAACGAAAATCTCAAATAAATAGAATTAATGAAAAGAAAATCCAATTGAGAGAAGACTAGGGATTTGAGTTCACCTATTAGATAATTAACTAACTCTCCTAAGTATTAATTCTTATGACTATAGTGACGATTGCTTCAAATGTATCCTAATACTCCGTCGAGCTACTAGGTTGTATCCAATTAACTGTGATCATTCGTCGATATCTCACCAACATTAATTAAACCCATTAAGCAACAATTAAATATCACCACAAATACCTAAAGCTATGTCTAGTTTAGGTCAATTGTGTTTATCTTACGAGTTCTAGGTTCATAATTCACCTGTCAGTTCTTCTTATGAACCCTGATATTAGAATTATGCAATGACCAGTCACACAATCAACAATTAAAATACATAAAATAAATATAATCAAGTTCAATTATTCAATTGGAATTGGAAGAATTAACACATGGAAAATAGTCAATTAATCTAATATAGGCTAATCCAAATCCCTAATTAAGAGTTCTAGCCAAGAATCATATTTGAATGTTCAAGAAATAGCATTCTGGAAATTTTAACAAGAAATAAAAATAAGGATAAAGAGAAATAATTCAAGCCTAAAAAGAATATAGCTGCGATCGAAGCTCAGGAATCCCCTGCGATGAAGTCTCCTCGCCGAAGTCGCCGCCGCCTCCCAGCTCTCTCTTTTTTTCTCTCTGTTTCGTATCTAATCTGCCGACGCCCTAATTAAATGCATAATCCCTTTCTTTTTCCTTTTTCTTACTGTTGCGCCAAACCTAAAAAGAAAACAAAACAAAATAATATAAAATAAAATAATTATAAACTAATGACATAATAACTCAATTAAACTTAAATATTAAAACACTTATTCAAAATAGAATGAATAAAACTAACAAATAAATTTAATAAAATAGATAAAATAGAACTCTTCTTTATATATTAATAAAAATGCAACATTAGCCTAATATTTATTAAAACTCATCTCAACTAGTCTAAACTAGTAACATATACTAAATATACTATTTATAATATAATTAACCCTAAAACTTAATTTATTTAATCAAATCACTAACTAAAATTACTCTAAATAATCCCTAGAAATTAAGCTTATCAATAATGAAGCATTCGTCGCCGCCTTTATCCGGCGGCTAGCAGACCGCTTCTCTTTGAAGGATTTGGGACCTTTACATCATTTTTTAGGTGTTGAGGTGGTATCTACTACACCTGGCATGTTTTTATCACAAAGCCAGTATGTGGTCGATATTCTGGAGCAGTTTACTATGACGGGGGCGAAACCGGTGTCTACTCCGATGTGTTCGTCCGCTGATTTACATACAGATGCCATGCCGTTCGACTCCACTACCTACTGCCGGGCAATTGGCCCGTTTGCAGTACCTGGCAATCACAAGGCCGGATATTTCTTTCACAGTGAATCGCTTGGCTCAGTTTATGGCGTCTCCGACTGAGAGTCACTGGCAAGCTGTGAAGCGGGTTCTGCGTTATCTGAAAGGTACTCTGCACTTTGGTCTATATTTCAGGCGTGGCTGTCCACTCACTCTTGTTTCTTACTCCCGGACTCTGACTGGGGTAGTGTTCGTGATGGGGGTCGTTCTACCACGGCCTATTGTGTGTTCTTTGACTCGAATCTCATTTCCTGGAAGTCTACAAAACAGCGTTCAGTTTCACGTTCCTCCACGGAGGCCGAGTTCCGGGCACTTGCCAATTCTGCTGCTGAAGTTATGTGGGTTCAGAGTTTGTTGTGTGAGCTTGGGGTTCGCCAGCTATCTACACCGTTGTTAGTCACTGACAACCTGAGTGCTTCATATGTGTGCAAAAAACCGGTCTTTCACTCACGGATGAAGCACTTGGCACTTGACTATTTTTTTGTGCGTGAACAAGTTACTTCGGGCTCCCTGCGCATTCGTTATGTCCGTTCCACTGAGCAGGTGGCTGATCTTCTGACTAAACCTCTTAGTTTGCGTTTGTTCGCGGCGTTCCGATCCAAGCTTGGGCTCACTGATGGAGCCTCAATCTTGCGGGGGCGTGTTAAGATTTAGTCTAGGCCTCTTATTTTTTCCTGGTTTGTGTTTATTTGTTTTTCCTAGTCTTAAGGTTCAGGTGTAACTGTTCCTTTCTTTTTGGCTTTGTATGAGTATTTAAACTCTTGTGGTTACAGTCAATAAATTACTAAAACTCACTTTCACACATCACTAATATCTGTTACACATGCCAATCTCCAGTAAACAAATGTTTGCTGTTCAGTTATGCATAGTCATTCTTGTACATTGCTTTTATCTCTTGCAGGGATGTCTTTGAGCTTAGAGAGGCCTTGAACTAATATGTGACCATAGCAGATGAAAGGTTATATTATGATTCCTGATAGATGGAGTATATGTTGTTGGATGACCCCACTATGACAATTTTCTGGCCTTGTTTCTGACTTAATTCATTCTTGGTCTGTTTTCTTCTACATATAAGAAAATTTTGTCACTGTAAATGGCTATGAAAGCCAGAAATATGAGGTCATCTTTAAACAAATGTTGATAGCACTTCTGTGCAGGTTAAACAAATGTTGATAGCACTTCTGTGCGAGTCTGAAATGAAGTTGGCTGATGAGACCATTGAGATAATACTGGATAAGGTAATTTAATGATGATAAATGAACTCAATTCCTCTTACAACACTTTTCTGGCCTTTTCATTTCAATTAAATTATTTGACTCGTGTGTTTATGTGTATTCCTTATTACTGACTTTTTGTATTATTGATAGGCAGGGACGGAGGGACGTGGTAAATAAAGGGGGGCCTTGCCCCCCCCCCCCCCCCCCCCCCCCTCCCCCGAAGAAATTTTTTTTTTTATTAACACTAGGAGTGGAGAGGATTTAAAGGAACATGGTAATTGGGACTTTGGGCCCTTGGCCCCCCTCCCCCTTCAAAAAAAAATTATTAGTAGTATATTATTATTTTTTGTAGCCTCTCACCAAAGTATTTTTACTCTCCAAACAAAAACTTTCAGGTTAAGATTTCAAAATCTTATTTGATTCCAATCATTATGCTGTGGACATGGTTCTATGTTCATAATTACTGAAGTATATGTTCATAATTATAAAGCTATATATTTATAATTTTTTAACTTCATATTTATGATTATTAAACTTTATATTCAATTACAGAACTATATGTTCATAAATATAAAGCTATAATTTCATAAATTTTGAACTTTATATCAAAATTATTGAATCTCTATATTCATAATTACAGAATTATATATTCATAATTATGTTCACAACTTTATGTTCATAATTATAGAATTATATGTTCATAATTTTTGAACTATATATTCATAATTATGAACAGTTTTAGAACCGTGCCCACCTTACAAGGTAGACACAGTTCCACAACATAATTTGCCATTTGATTCGCAACTGGCCTTGCCTAAAATATGATTTCTTCTTCTTGAACATACACAATCACATATTGTGTAACAGGCTCCATTTTTTTTTCTTTTTTGTTTTTCAAATTCATTTTTCTAAAATTAATGAATTTTTTTTTCTTATTGATCTACACTTTTGATTTGAATTTGTTTAAAGGGTTTTTGACAATGTTTATATGTGAACTATCCATATTTAAGAAATGTTTGCTCTTTGGTGAATGGTGATTCCTTGTGGACTGACGGCTCACGACTCTTGATCATTTAGAATTGATGACGTTTGCAAGTTGGTAGAGAAGTTTTACCCTCAAGACTTTGTAATATAATGATGTATTTTGGACTATGTTAAATGAATATTAATGTATTTAATTATGCTCTCTCAAATTGTGAATGTAATGATGTATTTTGAACTATGTTAAATGAATATTAATGTATTTAATTATTCTCTTTCGTAGTGTGAATGGCCCCCCGCACCAACAAATCTGGGCTCCGCCCCTGTTGATAGAGGACATAGATTAAGAAAATGGAAAAACAATTAGTATATTTAGCTAGGCTATGGAATTCTCTAAACTTCAATGAGGAATTGAAATTGATTTTTGTACTTGGATGTGCAAATTATAGGGCATAATGTGTTATTTATTTCTGTGGACAGACAATTTTAGAGGCAGATACGAACCAGGATGGAAAGAAATATAAATAAAAATAACAATAAAAACTTTACGCGTCCAAAGTTCTTGAACTTTGGATGCATAAAATTGTTTTTTTTTTTAAATACAATACGCGTCCAAAGTTCATGAACTTTGGACACGTATTATAGTTTTGCGCGTCCAAAGTTGTTTTGGACGCTGATTGTTTATACAATCAGCGTCACTCACATACGCGTCCAAGCAACTTTGGACGCGAATGACTGTTTTTGTACTAGTGAATTATCTCTTCAATATTAGAACATATTTAATATTAGGAAAACAGCACTTTTGGCCCCTCAATTATTTTACTTTTAGAAATTTAGTCCCTTTTAATTGATTTAAACAAATTTAGTCCTTTAATTATTCATTATGGGTCACATTTAGTCCCTGATATTTATATTATTAAAATTTTTATTAATAATTTATTTCATAGGATTGTATTTGTCCATTACTCTTAACCATTAGCCATTAAATTTCAATCTTTGCATACCCAGTTGAGTTACTTCCACCGGAGACTGACAAATTAAAAATGAGTTAATTCCAGCAATAGTCCTCCGACTATTGTGATTTTCCAAATTTAGTCGTTGTCTTTTAATTTGGACGAAATAAACCCTTGAGTATCAAAAATATTCCACCATTGGTCCTTCCGTTAACCAACAGTTAGACAGACCTTAAGTTAAGGGGTAAAAGGGTATTTTCCATAACTAGGTCTCTTCTTCTCCTTGACTATTAGAAATTGTTCCACCTGGTAAAAGAGTACTTTTTATAGCCCTGACTTGCAGTTGAGAGCAAGAAAAATCCAACCTCGGTTTCCGCAGAACCAAACTTGGGGATTAGTATTATCCAGTGCACCAGCTCCATGTACAAAGATTCACTAATGATTCAACAGATGAAGAACAGACCACAGGGAACTAAGTATACAGATAACCAGTATATGCAGTGGAAAAGGCATCCACACCATACTGTGCACTCAAACTTGTTAATTCACATTTTCCAATAGCTGAGAGGTGGGGTGATCTATGGGATATATACAGAATGAATAAATAATACTGATCAGCCAAAATGAATAAATAATACAGAATTAGAAAAATCAAACTCTTAGCAAAACTTTAAGCATTAAATTTATTAATTCAATTAGCAATTTGAAATAACTGAAGAAGCAGTGTAGTCACTCTACACTACTAATAATCTCCTATGAGCCAATAATTAGACAATTTTTGAAACTCTTTACACTGAATGCAAAAATTCAAACAAATTCCTCAATAAAATAGTTAAGTTAAGAAGTGAAAATAGAAAGAAAATTGTGATAGATACCCAGTAACGGAGTGATAGAAACTTAGCTTGACGACGGTATCGGAAGGCGAACATCCCAAGCCAACATGCTCTGCAGCCTTGATCTGAGCCGTTTCCGGGTCTTCATGGGAATCCGGGTCAGAAACGCTGATAGCTAACGCCAATTGGGAATCGCGGATGAAGACGGCATCGTTTCGGAAGAGGACGAAGCCGAAATCAATGCGGAGACTGATTCCAGAAACGGCGGCAGATCAATTGGTGGTGAGCGGTAGTGCGGGTGATGATGGTGATCGGTTCCCGCCGATGTGAAGTTTCCAGAGTAAATGCTTCATCTTCGACATGGGGTCTCATCGGCAAGAGAAAAGAATTCCAGATTGATTGTATACGTGCAGGAAGAAGAAACCCAGCATAGAAAATTACCATTTTAATCCTACACTAACATTTATTTAACTGTTGGTTAACGGAAGTACCAATAGTGGAACAATTTTGATAGTCAAGGGTTTATTTCGTCCAAATTAAAAGACGATGACTAAATTTGAAAAATCACAATAGTCGGAGGACTATTGTTGGAATTAACTCAATTTAAAATCTTAGCCTTTGTTGTGGGTTTGGCATTGGATCAATGATGGGAAACATCTCATCCAATTCCTTGGATCTCAAATCATGAGAAACATCCGAAATGCTCAGGATTTCATAACCATGTAACAGGATAATAGTACTGGCACCCGACCTGGATCATAAGCAGCATATGACCCGACACCACATGGAAACTCAACGGGCAAAACTCCAACGGGCAGAATTCCAACGGCTGTCACCTTTACTGTCATTGAAGCCACCATTGATGTCACCATTGATGAGAGAGAATTAAAGGCTTAGCTCCCCATTTATGCTTCATGCACTGCTGGAAATCTGCATTTTTCCGACCACCAAAATATGGTCGGAAAAGGGTGATTTTCGATCGGAAATGTAGTTTCCGACCAACTTACCGACCACTTTATGGATTCGGAGAAAAGGCCCTAGCTATTACCGACAACTAGTCAAGGTGGTTGGAAATACCGGCTTCTTTTTTAGGACGTCGGAATTACTAGTTGTCGGATAAAGAGAGCATATTTCCTACCACCGGTGGTCGGTAATTGGTCGGAATTACCATCTACCGGTGGTCGGTAAGATTTACAATGAAAAAATTAAAAAAAAAATTGAATTACTGACCACCTAGTGGTCGGTAAGATTTATTAACAAAAAAAATAAAATTTAAAATTCTAAAAATATCAAATGAATTAGACCTGTTACAATTATACAAATTTCAGCATCACAATATTAAATTCTACAATACAATTAAAAATTTAAAGAAATCTAACATTAGTCAATCATTTAAATCAAGGTGTAGCAATTGTTTCACTGCACCATCCAAGGATGGAGGATTGAAATGAATGCAGCCTAATTGATTAGTCAAGATCTAAAAGAGAATATTGTGCATAAAACATCATATTTGATATCATTGTATCATCAAATTGCAGCTCTAAATCTCAAGCATAAAATACATTGGTAGTCAAAGTATAAAACCATACATCAATTATGTAAATCACTAGGTAATAATCTAAAATAGCATAATTTCAGTAGAAACATCCAAAAATTTGCAAAACCTGAGTATTCAATTCTGCAGTGTGTATTAGCCTATTCCTACTTTGAACGCAAGCCCGGAATATGTCTTAGCCCCATCTTACCAATGACGAGTTTAGGAATTGCTGGAGGGTTGTCAAGCCCCATGCTTCGACTAAACTCATTTGCAAGCTCCACAAGTCTGCACTTGTCCCTGCCCACAGTCTTATTGGAACTATAATAGCCAAGCCATGCCTGGTATGCAGACTTTTTGTTTTTCATCTCCACATCTGCCTTTGTCATTGGTAAATCTTTGATTGTGGACAAGAAGAATTCCTCCCAAGGAGCCAACACCAATATTCCTTGCCCCTCTTAACCTTTTCGCCCAGTTCGACCATGTCGATAGATATATTGATGTCTATGAGATGGCAGGCCAATCTGTATAACAAGGGTAACATTGGGATAATCTACTCCCCGGACAGGCACATCAGACGTTACAAGAATAAGACCTTTGGATTTATGAAATTCATCTTAAACTCTGTTTTGTAACTTTATGACAAATGAGCATCCATTGACATTTCTGCTCTGTCAACAATGCAATATCATGTTTCAGGGAATAGTTCAGACAAAGCTATCACTATAGTAAAGCTAAGGAAAGAAAAACAATACACTACAGGAAATTGAGGGATTTTATGAACACAACACCTCTGTCAATAAGGCCCAATCAATCCTTTTATGAACACTAATATATATATATATATATATATATATATATATATATATATATATATATATATATATATATATATATATATATAGGGTTATCAAGGCGACGCCTAGGCGTCTGGGTGATCACAGCCTTGCGCCTAGTCCGCTCGCCTAGCCTAAGTGCAAAATACAATCCAAAACCCCACAAAACATACATGGGCAGAACCTACACACCAAGGCGGGTTGACCGGTGTAATTTTCAGCCGGAGAAGACGCTGGAATCTGCCTCACGCGCCGGCGCGTGGCGTCGGAGCAGCGGCAAGGCGGCAGCGCGTGGAGGTTCCGATGGCGGCGCGATTCGAGCTCCGGCATCGTCCTCCTGTTCCGAGCAAAGCCCACTACCTCACCCTGACATGTTATCAATAAATACTAGACTTCTCACTACTCTAGGAAAAACTATTCATCTTCTCAAAGATGACTTGAAGTAAATAGGGTTCAAAAAGGCTTCCCAAGACAAGATATTTCCAATATATACAATAAATACTAAACTTCTCATTATTTTAGGAAAAACTGTTCATCTACTAAAGGCAACTTGAAGTAAATAGGCTGCCCAAAGACAAGATATTTTCAATATATATGTATATATTTTATATAATGTTGCAAAAAACGTTAGGCGCCCCCTAGGCGCCAAGGGGGCGCCTAGCGCCTAGGCGCCGCCGATTTTTTTTTTTTTTAAATTTTTTTTTAATTAAAAAAAATTAATTAAAAATTTTCAAAATTTAGTACTAAAACATAAGGTTTTCATAGTTATTTCATAGAAACTATTTACAAAAGTGGTTGTAAAATTGTTCAAAAGATTGTTTAAACCATCTAAATATATAAAAAACTAAAACTAAGAGCTAAAGAAGCATTTTTTTGAGAAATTAGTGGACCAAACCGCCTTCCGAAAAAATACGCGATTTGAAAAAAAAAATTGTCCGAATCGGACAACCGAGTCAAAAGTTATGCCTTCCGAAACTTTTCCGACATTAAAAAAAAAAAAAAAAAAAAATCGCCGACCGGCCGGCCGCGGAGATGGCCGATTTTGGCCTTCTTCGCGGCGGCGCAATGGCGCCTAGGCGCGATTTTTGCAACATTGATTTTATATATATTTTATTTATTTAATACTCATCGCCTAGGCGGTCGCCTAGTCGAGGCAGTTGGTGGCATCTCGCCTAGAAAGTCCGCCTTGATAACCTTGTAATATATATATATATATATATATATATATATATATTACCAAACTTATTATTCTACTAAAGAAATATATTCAATCACCCCCCCCCCCCCCCCCCCGCCCTACAAAGTAATAATTTATTGCATTTCATTCAAAATGAGAAGAATTACAAACCAAACACATTAATAACTGATTAGAACAGGGGCTACTTATCATGTTCTAGCGTTATTGTGCATGAGAAAGAGTTTTGATAGATAGCTATGGAGAGGGATTATACCAGGGTCCTCCGAGAAGTCGTAAACCTTGTCGTTGGCCAATAGTGTAGAACCAAAAACCTCTGTGTTTTCCAAGATAATCTCCTGTCTCAACTTCCAATATAATCTCTTCTTCCTCCCCAATGTGTCTTGCAACAAATTCACTGAACTTTATCTGCAGCACAATGGAGATAAAATATGAGATGAAGGAGAATTAATTAAAGAATCCTGTAATAAGAAATTTCACTTGAGAAGTGATTCCTTAAGATTTAAGAATCTTGAAAGCAATGTGAATCCTAGCTAATATGTTCACTTGTTCTTTGATTATGATGGGTTTATCAGGAAAATGTAGAGTGAACTCTTTAAGTTGAGGAAGTCCCTAACAGATGATAGAAAAGGAATCAGATTAAAGACCATTACTTCTATTTATTGATGGAGGTCTTCTATCTTCCAGTAATATCTTTGCAGCTTCATCAAGGTAAATCATATCTACCTGAAGAAAGAGCAACAACCATAGCATAAGAATTACTTCCTTTACTGACAAGTTTCCCACATAATAGAAAGCTTTGAAATCAAAACTCAACTTACATTAGTGCAGAGGAAGAGCTTAATAAAATTGTGTAAGAAACCCCAAAGATTTCTCCCTTATATTGTCTGCTGAAATTACTCAATGTATCAGTCAATTTGGTAAAAGATAAAGGTCACTTTACAAAAAAGAATTGCATATGAAATTACCAGGATTAGAGGAGTCTGCCAACTTCGGAACAGAAATGGAGTCTGATTTCTCATTCTGACATGAAACATTAGGGTTTGAGTGTCTGTCATCTTCTTCATCATCCAAAACCTGTAGACATTGAAATCAGGAAACACTAAATATGTTGTATTGCAAAAATAAATAAAGAATTGGGAACAATTATCTGCATATATACAAAGATTGCATTTTAGAATTCAAATGAAAGACACATACTTGGACAGAGACATCTCCACTATATGCACTAATGCTATCATTTATCAAATTTATTGAATTGAGATGAGAAAAGAAAATAGAATTGATAATTTCTTGCTAAGTTCAAGTTGCAAGCTAAGCTAATATGTCTTGTTACCTTCAGTTCTTTCAAAAGCTCTAGGAATTGCTTCAAACCCTTTTCATGTATACATATTCTTTGCCTTCCTTGAAAGAACCTGAACAATCGAGGTCAAGCAAAAAGAAGAAGACAACGTCAGTAATCCAAGTAATTAATTGGATCCAAAGATGAAGTTAATGCCAATTTAAAAGATCTTACAACAACACTTTCAAGAACATTCACAATGTTATAGATCCTCCTCCTTTCAACCCCTAAACCACAACCAAATATACCTCAAGTTCAGCGCATACACTTTTCGGAAAAAATAAATGTTTAAAATAAACCATATGCAATAAAAAAAATTGAAAAATTAGATCAGTACCTAGTTGCCTTGCTGCATCATCAAGCCCAATAGTTTCTACGCCTTCACGGTTATACAAGCTCAAAAAATTGCATAAACACACAACAATAAGCACAAACTTGGCTTACATCAACAAATATAGACATAGGATTTAACATTTTTCGCATGAAACACTTAAATTTTTAGATCCAAACAAATTACTTAGCAAACAACCTACAATAGAGAATACTTGTCAAAGAAAGATAAAACACAAATGCTCACACAAACAGCTAACATGATATATTTATTAGGCCATGCAAAATATTTGTTCTCTATTTCCTATTCACAGTGCATAATTTCATAAGACAAACAATTTAGAACCTCAAAAGACTCCAATTAATCTATATTAGTAAATCCTTAATAACATCAATAAATGCAGATCCGTCATCAAGATTCCTCTACCAATCCCATTGATGAAAGATACCCACAAGTCTTCAATCTTGCCCTCACATATATGCAGAGGAACTGCAATTCAAAATTTTGCAGATTGGTCAATGGACAGTCACAATTTCAACTAAGTAACAAGACTAACAAGCAAACCCTAGGCAGTTCACTCCCCATATAATCAGAAATTACAACTGAAATAAGCTCAGAAAATTCATTTGAATCATCAGCTCAAACATTCATCAATATCAATTTTAACCTACTGACCATCATCAAACAGATTCTTCTTAGGTGTTGCGGGTAGATGTTGAATCCTAGGCGGTGTTCTCCCCTTCTTCTTGTCTTTCAGCCTCACCTATACAAATTCACACACAAATATTAATTTATACAGTAACAATATACTGAATCAGAATTGGTATGCCAAAATAAACCTGGATATTTTGTGAATTACACTCGAGCTATAAAGAAAAACACTTACATTTTGAAATGAGTGATTGAAATCAACGGTCTTCTTATCTCCTCGTCCACAGTAGACTGAAATAATAAGAGTAAAGCATAAAACTCTATTCAGCTCATAAATATATGTAGGTCACAGAAAAGTACCTAAACCCTAAAATGAAAGAAGAGAATAAAGAGTACCTCACGCCGGTCTGTTCATGCCGCTCCTATGAAGTAGCGACAGATATGCTCAATAGAATTAGGAAGTTAAGGATTAGGGTTTAAGATTAGAGAACTAACTTGTAGGATGGTGATAGACACCATAGTAGAGTCGAGAAGAGGCGAAAACGGCAGAGTCGAGAAGAGGCGACAACGGCAGAGACTTTGGCGCAGGCTAAGATGGCGGAGGAGGTGGGAGCGACGACGAAGAAAAGGCTGAGACAACGACGACGAAGAAAAGGCTGAGACAACGGCGACGAAGAAAAGGCTGAGACAACGGCAAAGGCAGGAGCGAAGGTGAAAAGTGTTTGGTTCTGTTGAGCGATGCAGAGTGTGGTTTTTGTTTGGGTTGAGGCCGCTGAGCGACGTATTATGTTTGGGTACTCCGTATTTTTTGTTTGAGAGGGAAGACCTTTTTATTTGAGATGGAAGACTGTTTTTTTGCTAAGTGAGTAAGGGAGGGTAATAAAAGAAATTAAATTTTTGCGAAATGTTCCGACCACCATGTAAATAGTGGTCGGAAATTCCGACCACTTTCCGACCTCTGTAATCCTCTGTCGAAAAAGAAAAAAAAATCACTTTTTGCGACTAAATTTTTGAGTGGACGGAAAGAGGTCGGAAAAATGCTAATTTCCAGCAGTGATGTTGTTATCGTTAGCAGCTTTTGTATAAGTAGGGGCTCCCCTCAGCTTGGAGGGGGACGTTCAATACTCTGGACAAAGACACTGTATTTTCTATACTGAGACAAAAGCAATACAACTATTGTTACTCTCTCATAGCGTTATTATAATATTATTATTACCGGTAACATTATTTACCGTCACCATGGTAGCTAGGAGAATTAGTGAAATTGCAGAAAACAAAAAAGTGGTTTAATTACCTCTTGGGGAGGCAGGCGTAAGGAATGAAAGTGAAAGGAGGGGCGCGGCGGTATGAGCTAAAGCTTTTGTCTTTACACAGCTTAGCAAAGGATTTTGGGTAGCCGAGGGTCTCCGGCCGCCATTGTTGTCGGCAGCTAGCGTAGCTTCTGATGTCACAAAATTTCTCACTCTGAACAAAGCTCTGGTATTGGTTTTGAACTTTTGATGATATGAAATAGAAGACAAACGGCGGAGGTATTTTTTTTAATAGTTTAGGCCCTGTTTGGTAAAAAATTGGCTTATAGGTCAATTTTGGCTTATTTGACCACTATTAATTGTTTGATTTAGTTAAAATATTAATATAAATGTTTGGTTAATTAGCTTTTTGCAACTCCAAAAGGCTAAAATTGAAAAAGCTACCCCAAGTAATTTTTTCAATTAGCTTTTTGAGAAAAGAAATTATATCAAACAGCTAACAGCTAACAGCTAATTTACCAAACACTTTTGTACAATCAGCTAATATTATCAACTATTTATACCCTTTAATTAACACGATCAGCTAACAACTAACATCTATCAGCTAACAGCCATTTTACCAAACAGGACCTTAGAGTAATTGAAAAATATAAACTTATCAAAAAGAATTTAATAACAAATTTTCTAATTATATAATATCAGGTATTAAATGTGGCATATTATAAACAATTAAAGGACTAATTTTGTTCAAATCAATTGAGATGGACTAAATTTCTAAAAGTAAAACAATCGAGGAGCCAAGAGCGTCATTTTCCCTTTAATATTTGATACCCTAATTTTTATTTGCTCTCCCTTATGTCCCATATTTGGTTTCAACCATACCTATACAATTATTTTATTGACAATTATAATCAATCTTGACTATATTATCTTGCATTTGTAAACTTAGAATTGTCTATTTAAATACGCAAATTTAACATTCAATTATCTATGCATAACAATTCCAATATAATCTTGCCTTGATATACTTTAAAGTACTTATATATGAAAAAAAAAAAAAAAAAAAAAAAAAAAAAAAAAACATTGGGCATTATCCCAATCGCGCAATGCGTGTAAAAAAAACTAGTATTATTAATAAATTTCATAAAATAATATGAAAACACAAAATGATTAAAAAAAAAGTATATACATACTCAGAATCCTCAATCACAAAGTTAATAAGTCTTGAGTTCTTCCCATTAATTATTTTGTCTTGTGGAGAATGAATTTCGACGACTCGACTAATAACATCTAAAAAAAATAAATATTAATATTAATACGATAATGTTTCAAAAAATTTTACAGAGAAAATAAATTTAACAGTTATTACCAAAAAGTTGCTTCTTGTCAACACCTTTCTTGGATTTAAGTAATGCAAAAGACTTCAGCCGATACATGTGCATAGGAAAAGTTGTGTCCTTGAACACTTTGACCACAGTTTGATAATTAAACTTGAACATATAACAATGTGGACTCGTTTTAAATGTGTAGAAGTTTGTGATGACTAAGAAATTTTTAACACCATAAACTATGCCTTCTCTAAATCAGGTTAGGAACTTTTGAACGTGTTCTTTCGGGATATGAGCGTGCAGGAAGGTGCACTGCATATGTTAGATTTTCAGATATAATAACTTAAAATATTACCGGGTTTCAAACATATAATATTATCGGGCTTAAACCTAACTTAGAATATTATAGGGTTTATAACTTACCTCCTGGTCATGAAGAAGCTTTTCTTTCAGGTGCATTGTATGCTCTAACGACACGCAGCCGTAGCGCATTCCTGGTGTTCATAGGTGAAATTTCTCTGGCAACAATTTACATTGTTTATGGATTTTAGATGAGATTGAAACTTGATAGTCTTTGTATTGAAGATTGAAACTTGGTAGTATTTGTATTGAAGAGAATGCGATGTATATATATGTGTTTAGATATGATTGTTGCACTCTCATTAGTTAACCGAAAGGGCAGAGATCCATTGGTTGCAATTAATTACTTTGGAAAAAAGAATCCGGCTAATGAATTCTAACCATAATTATGTACATAAATATTTTATGGAAAAATGAAGAGTACACACGGTTTAATCAAAAAGTTTAACATCATTGGCTTAGAAATAAAAAAGGCCGGCTAAAATCTCTAAACAAAAAGATTTTTTTTTTAAATTTTTTTATTGATAACTGATAAGTTAACACGTTTTTTAACACAAAATATTATAAATGATCGAACCCTGTGAAACGACATCGTTGCTTTTAGACGAAAAATTTGTAGACTGCTTCATTTTACTTTAATATAGATAGAGATGAGACAACACTTGAAATATAGTCAAAATACAAATCAATAGGAAGGCGTATTTTTAGCATATGCATATAAGTGCTCTTTCTTGTTAAACACACACAAAAAAAAATGGTACAAAAGCAAAAATATCAATTTCTCACTTTTATATATATATATATATATATATATATATATATATATATATATAATTAAAAAGACATTAAATAAATGAAGAGAAAGACAAAATGATAGATTATGGTGTAACACTATAACGAATAGAAATGTGAGAATATTACATAGAAGATGATAGGGATTATTCCCCAACTGTAAGTACAATGGTTGGTTGGAAGTTTTTTATGCTTGGCAGTTAAGATCCGATCTGATTTGATCATCGCTTATAACTTTCCGACTTGAACCTTCACACGACGTTCAGGGTGGGCGCGCCCGCAGGTCACCTGGAGGGCGATGTGTGATCCGACCTCTCGAAGTTGGGCCGACCTGATAAACAATCTGCAACATGGTCACGTCTCCTCAGATATATTACGACACGTGTGTACAATCCCTTTGGTCCCGGCCTGGTCCTGTGCATGGACACCATGTGCCCTCCACCTGTCTCCTCTCCTTTCATATAAATACGACATTTATTATTAAGAGGAAGACTTTTTCACTTGAGAACTGATATTATTAGCTCGGAGACCGCCGACTCATCGTCAAGAATTCCAAACTCAAAAACTTAAACCAACAAGCAGGCTAGGAGAGAGACCCGATCCGGGACTGATCCTAGTATTGTATGTATTTGTAGTTGTATCCGACCGTATATACTACATCAGAAGATTAATTATAGCCCTAAATTACTCCCAATACTATATGAAACGATTAGCGAATCGGATAATTATTCATACTATAGCTAAGCATACCGTTTGTAGATCTAGTTATTCAGAGTGATATTTTAACCCTCCTAATGTGTTAACTCTTGATCTTAATAGTCTGTGTTTTCTTGAAAAGAAAAAAGAAATTACAATTACTTAAGAAAACAATTTGCTGGTAACTGTCGAACACCTCCAAATCAACCTCTCTACTGCCACCTTTACAAATTTGCAATTCTGCACCGCATTCTTTTTGTACGATCCCACCGGCGACCTGTACATTAAATTACATTAGAAAAAAAAAAAAAAAAAAGACAAAAGACAAAGAAGCCGACAAAAGTTGCAGAAAACTAGGAAAGTTACGGCAGTGCAGGGAGACACTGTACAATGGTGGCCGGATAAACTGCCACCGGTTTCTATTTTTAGCAATGGTTACCGAAATGAAAGAAAAAGAAGGCATTTTGCCTTACTTTGCCGGCGGTTTGGTGGCGGTAGAGATCTCATTTTGGCGTAGGAATAAATCATTAACGGCGTCGGGCCGTCGTCTATGTTTTGAGCCGCCGGACGACGCTTGCTTTCTTGATTCTCCGGGTAAGCTAAGGGTGAGCTCGTTTTTTCGACAACACCCTCAAGTTGGTCAAATAGTTTACTTGATAATTAATCATAAAGTTACAAGTTTGTCTATTTACTTTCTTAGTTTGAATCAGTAACCTATAAATAATTTAGATTGATTTATCTCTTTATACACCTTTACTATCTAAAGTCACAATGCAGAGTTTATTCTGTACATACTCTCAAATAGTTATGAGTTTTTACTAAAATTAAAAATAAATTTTCTATCTTTTTCAAACAATTATTTTAATCGTATAAACAAGGCCCATATTGGTAAAATCAATCATCGTCTTCATTACAAAGCTTCTGTTGTCACAATCATGAATTGAGTTTGAACTGAAACTGGACAAAACATTATTACTCTAAAATTCTTCATATACATGAAGCCACGTGTCCTCGGATCGTCTCATGCTATTTATTTATTTTATTTTTAAGCGATAATAGATATAATTGCATGTCTTTTTCGATCGTCTTTTAATTTGTTCATACAAATCAAGTGTTCCAAAACACCATATTAAAGTACATGCAAATACATACATATATAACATAATAATCTTCAAAAACAGGCATACTAAAAGCCTCTATCTGTACATGTCCACATCTTTCTAATTAACTTGTTCTTGAGCACTTTGAAGGCGTTGTTGGAGCTGGAAAAAAAATGTCTTTTATTAATTTATGCATGTCTTAAAATTATAATTTATGATCCTTAAAATAAAAAAATAAAAAAACAATTATACATATGTAAAAGGGCCTTACCTAGTCCAACAACATCTGAACTCTTCATCAACCTTAGCCTCTTGCACGATTCAACAAACATCCTTCATACACAAACGAGAATTGTAGATCAGTTAATTAGAATAATACCCAGATCTAAATTAAACAGAATCTATATTTAATTTATACATAGAAATGAAAAATAAATAAATAAAAATCTTACTTCCAAGGAACATCTCCAACTAACATCCAGTCTCCATCTTTGTCTTCGTAGGTTGGCACATATTCCGTACCGTCTGAGGTATCCATAAGCTTCTTCCCATTAAGAACGTTACCTGAACCATAGAATACAAAACATGAGTACATATATACATTAAACAACTGTAACTAACTTTGATTTATGGACTGAGAAAATCCAGAACCACTACTCATATGTACACTTCACTCATCTTATGACTCTAACTGACAAAAGATTGAATAAACCAAGTTATCCATAATTGACTTGCTGAAACCAAAAAGACTAATAGTGAGCTTACAACCTAACTAACTCCGTTGAAGTTGTTCCAGCTGTATATATAGTAAATTGTAGCCCCCATTGGCTTAACTCAATGGTTCAGTAAGCAATATTTGGGAGAAGAAGTGTAAATTGCAAATTATATGAAAATGTTAAGTTAACTTACAAATAGTTAGACATGTAAACATGTCTTCCAAGGAAGTTAACAGTTGTTGGTAACTGTGAAACGCCACCAAGTCAACCTTTCTAAGGTATGGTGCGCCGTCTACTGCCACCTTTACAAATTTGGCACTTTTCATTATATTCTTCCTGTATGATCTCACCGGCGGCCACCCCACCACCTGCGCCGCCCTGCATTAATATTACATCATCAAAATCTATAATTTATCGATGCATACGATGATAAAAATTAAACCTCGTAATTAATTTAAGGGTACGTATAATATAATAATTACTTACTTTGCCGGCGGTTTGGTGGCGGTGGAGATCTTGTCGACCTTGGTTTGATGTTCAGTAGTGAGAGAGCTTCCTCCTAGGCTGAAATCAATGGAACTATTGTCGGAGCGTCTGCGTTTGACGCCAGACTTTCTTGATTCTCCGGGCAAGCCGAGGGTGAGCTCGGTTTCCTTGATGAAAGTCAGGTGGGATTCCTTGAATTTTTCCGGCGACATCTCCCCTTTCCGGCTTTATGCTACAACACAGCAGTGGGCAGTGGCCTTGGAATGGGTAGACGCGTAGGGGCAAGCAAGCTTTTGCCTTTTGAATTTTGATTGTTGAGCCAAAATATATGAAGTGGAAGGCAGTGTGGAATCGACAAGTGTTGTTGAAACAACGGTTTTAATTCGTCCATGTCACGGGGGAGTGAATGATGGTAAGCGTGTTTCCGTGATTTGGATTGCTTTCACCTCCGGGTCCCACCTTGTCGGTTGGCTTAATAATTTGTTTGTATAATTTCATGTTTCACAACTTTTTCTTGCCTATACAACTAAAATTTTCTAATTTTAGGAATTCTTCACTTCTCACATAATGATAAATTACGGTAATTCAGCAGCCTATTAAATAATTCATAATTTCATAAAGAGTTTGTTCTTATGTGTTTATCACAATTTACAATTGATGATCTAATTGAGCTATCCGTAGAGACAAATAAAAAGGTGTGGCTATGACTAGAAAGTTAATAATCTATTATGGGTATATGCAAAGAGGAAATAACAAAAATAAATTGAAATTGAAAATAAAATTAAAAATGGGATTATTATGTGGAAAAACATGTGTTGAAACGGGGGTTAGATGGTGAAGAAAAAGAAGACATGAGTGGGACCTACGTGTTGGGGAACTTAAGGAACAAGTCAAGAGTCCACGTGCCCAGAAGCTCAAATGAGAAAGGAGACCCACCACTCTACCATGTGACCCTATTGCCTTGTCGGGTTATAAGTCTCCTTTAATTTACCGGATCGGTGGATCTCCGACCGACACGTTGCCTTCGTAACCATAACCCCAGTTCTTTACTTGCTTGTTATTAAGAGTAATTCTAATCTATTTTTGTATTATTAATAATCAATTATATAGATCCACGATGGTAAATAAATGTTAAAAAGTTTAATTCTTTATAGGAAAAATCATCATTTTAATCTATTAATTATTTTCTGACTGTCAACTGTCAATGTAGTTTCTAGTTTTCAATTTTAACTAATTTGATTCTCGAATGGTTTAAAATTTTATCAATTAAATCCTTTCAAGGGATCAAAATAGTGATTTTCCAATTTTTAAAATTTCATTAATTAATTTGATCCTTGAATGATTTAATTGACAAAATTTTAAACAATTCGTGGATCAAATTAGTTGAAATTGAAAATTAAGCACCACATTAACAGTTAAAAAAGGGAACAATTGAGGGAATAAATTGGTGATTTTCCCTTCTTTATATTTACCAATTACACATAAACATTTCAATCTATTATAGTTTAATATAATAAATTTACATCTAAATTTTGAGTCAAAATGCTATTATTATATTATTTGTTTTGAAAATATTGGACTTGGCTCAAGAAAACAAACTTAAGAAAAGCAAGCCTAGAAAGAATAAGTGAAGGTCCTACTTTGGGGTTGGCTTAGCTGGGATCAACACGAGCTCTGCTTGAAAGAGTGCAGTGTTGCTAAGAGCATCCACACTAGTGGATAATGTGGAGTTATTTCAGTTTGCTTTCTTCCCATGTAGAGATAATAACTAATGTGAGGGGGAGATAATTTATAAATAGTTGTCCTGCAAGTGTAGGCATAATGTCAGAAAATAAAAAAAAAAATAAAAAAAATAAAAAAAAAAAGAAGCAAGGCTGTGCGCGTTTCGCGCACAGCCTGGGCAAAAGCCGGGCGCGTGCACTGCACGCGCCAGTCGGCGTGCCTGACGCGTCTGATTACTTTTTTTTTTTATTTTAATTTTCTTTTTGTTTTGTTTTTTCTTTTTTTTTCTCCCCTCCCACATTCTCTTTCCTAATCACTCTTACATTATCTCCTCATTCTCCCCAACCAATGTGGATGCCCTAAGGCCGTGCTCAGAGAATACAAGGTCTGTTACATACAACGGAACACTAGAAGAGTAGAATAACAATATATTTTTCTCCTTCTCCCATTTTCATATACAATGTACCTATTTATACTAATTTACTAATACATATAATAATTAAGTTACTACAATTATTCTAACTATACAAGGTAATAATATATTCTTATATACATAATTTTCTTATACTAATATTTAGTAAATTATCCTCTAATTACATATATCCATTCCTTGTAGACCCTCCACTAATTAAACCACCAATTATTTCAAGGTCAATGACGACCGTTGGGATCGGAGCATCCTATCTTATCTCAAAATGTAAAATCCTCAATCTCAGCTGACAGAGCATTTAGAAGGATGTAAATCATGTATTCTAAGCAGAATTCTTACACTGTTACTGTCGAGGTTCAAATCTTGATCTCTTCTTTCAAATATTGCTTACCGAACCAATGAGCTAAAGGTTCATATGTATATACATTTTGCGCGCATTGTCTAGATGGAGACATGTTCTCTTCATTACAAACTCATAAGATTCTAATACGCAAGCAATTAATATGAATAATTAGCTAGACAGGTCTTTGCCTTTCAACATTACCTTATTCTAGCTTCTTGTTGTTCTTCAATTTGGATTAATTAATTCAAAGGCACTGTTTGTTGGGTAAAATAGGTGCGATGAATACCTGGAATGGATATTTGCGACGTGTTGTTGCTTCGGGACAGGAAACCGGCAACGTTCTGTGTCGTGTTTGGCAAAACTATCTTAAAGATATTTAACGACCAGGGTATCATTATATCTTCGACTGATAGCACAGAAACAAATAAATAGCTTAATTTCAGAACTTAGGGACTAGGAATTTCGTGTTGGAGTAAATTGTTTCCTTGTTCTGCATTAAGTGACACTGCCAAAGCTTTATTTATAATGGCTTGTGCACTTCTTACACCTTACCACCATTGTAGGCAGTGTGTGGACAATCAGCATGAGATTAGGCTTTGTATGGCCAAGCATCATGCAACCAATGTTGGCCACTTAATTTGTTTGATTAATTTGTTAAGACAAATTAAAAGATGATCCACTAAAATAGGGATCTCACTTGAAGCCTTTGCCGAGAATGTTTACCAACAATCCCCCACACATTCGAAGGTGTAAGACTTAACGGAAAGCAGCTGAGCGTAACAAATAAGAGCTAGCTTTCATGTCAGTGTGTTAAACTTGAACTGACAAGTGGTGGCACTAAGTAATCCACTATACGAGAGTGAACAGAGTCTTGAACTCTTCGGCTAGTTGAATTTTGAACTTATGTGCACCTCGTTAGCTTCATTTGTTGTACACTTTGTATAGTTATTTGGATAACCATGTATTAACCCTGTTTTGTCTGTCTCAGCACAGACATTCCACTCCATCGAGTGTACTTTACCGTTGACTACCAACGGCGTGCGGACTGATTTACAGTCTGCTTATAAATGCGAGTCTTTCCATGATTTCGTTTGACCACCGAGGTGGTGTCCATCATGAATTTCTCACCTCATTGGCTTTTAAGCCCATCTCCCTTGATGTATCAAGGATAGCCTTTCGATTTAGGCCTTTCGTGAAAGGATCAGCTATATTCCTTTCAGATCTCACAAACTCCATTGTGATTACCCCATTCAATATTAACTGCCGTACAGACTCATGTCTGACTCTAATGTGTCTTCTCTTTCCATTGTAGACACTATTTTGTGCCACACAAATAGCAGTTTGAGAATCACAATGAATGGGTACGGCGGGAGCAGGACTCCCCCACAGCGGCACGTCTGCCAACAGATTTCTTAGCCATTCGGCCTCTTGGCTAGCCAGATATAAAGCTATGAACTCTGCTTCCATAGTTGATCTGGCTATGCACGATTGTTTGGTTGATTTCCATGACACAGCAGCCCCACATAGTGTGAACACATATCCACTTGTGGAGCTGACATCATCACTGTCGTTTACCCAGTTCGCATCACAGAACACTTCTAGCACAACTGGGTATCCTTTGAAGTTGAGACCTCAGTCTAACGTGCCTCTAAGATACCGAAGTATCCTTTTTAGTGCGTCCCAGTGAGGGCCACCAGGGTTATGAGTGAAACGACTAAGTTTATTCACGGCAAATGCAATGTCGGGACGTGTATAGTTCATCAAGAACATTAGACTCCCAATTACTTTTGCATATTTTTCTTGAAACATACCTGACTCCATGTTCTTCAGTAGTTTGACACTAGGATCGTAAGGAGTCTTAGCCGGAACAACATCATAACTGTCAAACTTCTTCAGAAGTTTTTCTGTGTAGTGACCTTGGGGTAGAAGGTAACCTGTATTGGTTTTTGTGACTTTTATCCCGAGTATCACATCGGCTTCTCCTAGATCCTTCATTTCAAACTGTTGACATAGAGTTCGTTTGGTTTCATTTATAGCCTCAATACTTGAGCTAAAAATCAACATGTCATCCACATAGAGACATATATTACAATGCTGGATTGGACCTCCTTTGAGTACAAACAGGCATCTAACCGGTTAGTCGTGTAGCCTAGGTCCATTAAGGTCTTGTGAAATTTTTCATTCCACTGCTTGGGGGCCTGTTTTAAGCCATAAAGAGATCTTTTTAATTTACATACCTTTCCTTCTTGCCCTGGATCAACACAACCAGGTGGTTGTTCCATGTAGATCTCTTCTTTTAATTCACCATTGAGGAATGCAGTTTTTACGTCCATTTGGTGAACTATCCAGTTGTGTAAAGAAGCCAATGCAAATAGAACTCGAATGGTTCCCACTTTTGACACTGGTGAGTATGTGTAAAAATAATCCTCACCGAATCTCTGCGTAAAGCCTTTGGCTACTAGCCTGGCTTTGAACCTTTCAATAGACCCATCTGGTCTAAGTTTTCTTTTGAAGATCCATTTGCAACCAATTGGCTTGCACCCTTTGGGTAGTTCTACCAACTCCCAGGTGTGGTTGGACTGAATAGAGTCCAATTCACTTTTGATTGCTTCTTTCCACAGAATGGAGTTGACTGACTGCATTGCTTCTTTAAACGTTTTTGGTTCTTCTTCCAATACTAATTGGCACACAAAATGATCACACAGTTCGTTTAAATCTTTTAGTTCTGTGACATATGTTATGAAGTCAGAACCAAAATTCTTCTCTATCCTGGGTCTTTTGCTTCTTCTGGCTCATCCAAATCGTTAG